AATGAGGATCATAGTTATTGGTAGGCAAAGGAACTGTAAATAAAACGAATATATATATATATATAGTGGAGGGGGTATTTGTGGGTGGGTGGGGGAGACGCGTGCCGTTATGTGGTGGTCGCGGGTACAGCGTGTCCCACCCCATCCACTCGTGGTGTGTGTGTTTTTGTTTATTTTCTATTGTTATGTTTTCCGTACGAGTCTGGGTATTTATGTCTGTAGGGGGGGGGGGGAGGGAGGGTAACCGTCGGGTACGGATGGATGGGACGTGCGAGAGACTAGACCGTGTGTATATGTGTGCTTGCATCTCTGGCGCACCCGTCCCGATTGTTGACAGATGCGTGTGTTTTTTTTTTCCTCTCTACTTCTCTCTATTCGCTTCCTTCACTGTGGACGCGTATGTGGAGGTGGATGACGTTTTGCCCCTGTTGCCTCTGGCTACTCGCTTGGTAGTCTTGCAGAGAGGCTGTGACCGGGAGTTTGAACATATACATACAAATACGCATCGTGTTTGTGTTTGTGCGGCGGGCACCGACATGCCGCCTATTCTTCGGCTCTGTTTATATGCCGTCAGCGCCAACGGCAGCAAGGCGCAGCTGTGGCTCTCCTTTCCAATTCTTCGCACCACCACTCCGAGGGATATTATTCTGCTCGCGCGGCGGAGTGTGGAGGAACGCATGGCAGCAGAACTGGAGATGCATGCGTCGTACGAGACCCAGTTGGCCTTTTGCATGTGCAGCGTGAGGGGCCGATTTGTGTTTCTGGGCACTGCGTCCATGACGGAGGCCCACACGCCTATTCTCGGGATGCCCTTTTTCGAGGAGCTGCTGCGCGTGCAGCAGGAGACAAGGGAGGTTGCATCCAAAGCACCGTGGGAGGGGTTTATCTTCACACAAGGCATCCTTGTTCCCGTGCCAGACCTGCTGCGACTCAATCACAGGGCCCCCAGAGGGCGTGCGACATCGTTCGCCTTCTGTGAAACGGTGGTGGTGCCGCTGGAGCTGGGCAGTGATCCTGTGGTGGACGATATCGTGCCGTCCGTGGCAATGAGAGCCACCGATACGGAGCTACCCCCGCACGACTTTGAATTTCCCGTGTCGTCCACCTTTGCTTCCTCCTCCGTCGTTCCCACAGCCGTGGAGAATACGTCTCTTTTCACCCCAGCAAGGACTCAGGCAGACAGTGCCACGTCTATGCTTGTAAAGTACGTGAACTTTGCTGGCCGAACATACATGACGAGGGTGCGACTAACGGAAACGCCGTCGCTGCAGTCGGTGATGTCGGAGGCGTGTGCGGCTTTCAGTGCCCAGGTTGGATGTGTCTTTCAGCCGTGCAACATGCAATTAATGTGCAGCCGCGACCATGGGACTCCGCACTCAGTGGACGACGACAATGCGCTTCGCGACTCTCTGACAGGTGAGGGTGTGCATTTTTATCTCGCGGTAGACGGGCGGCTGCTGGCATCCTCTTCGCCCCATCGCTTGGAGGTCCCAGAGGGGAGACCTGTGCTGATGTTGAAGGAGACGCAAAATGACCTTCTCGAGACCGTGGCTGACGCCAACAAACCGGACTCACCCTGGGCGCTGGCCACCAGTGCCGCGACACTGCGACAGCTCGGAGGCCTCCATCCTACACCGATCTTTTCACCACAAGACCGTCTATCGGTTCTGCGCACGAGGCCCACGCCACTGTTAGGGCCGTCAACGAGCGCCACAGTGGCGAACATGCGTCATGAAGAGGACACAGCCCGACTACGTCTTGCCTCCGCCCATTTCTCCCTGGACGAGGCCCGGCGAAAACACAAGGCGGCTGTACTGGTGTCAGACCACGATGCCACATATGAAGGGCTCCGCAAGAAGAAGGCAGTGCTGACTGAAGAGTGGACTGAATGTGTCAGCGCGGAGCGCGACTGTCAGCGGCTAGAAACGCTTGTCGCCTGGCTTGAAAAGGACAAGGCGGATGGTTACGCGAGGCAGGAGAAACTCATTCGGGCTCTCTATGCTGCATAAACGTTTCTGCTCGCCTTTGTAAAGTCCTTGCTGCGGGGGGGGGGGACGATAGACTATACGTTAATATCTGTACAAATAGAAGATGAGGGGGAGAGTAGAGTCTGGAGAGACAGGATGAGGAAATCCGTGACAGGAAAGATGCATTCTCTCTCATACTTCTCCCCTCTGTACGTAGAGGTGATGTTCATCCACGCAGCTCCTGGATTGCTGAGCTTGTGTGTTATCGTCTTTCCTTCCCCAATCTTCTCCGTTTTTTACTATTTTTATTTTTATTTTTTGTATTTATCTTTGTATCTTTAAAGGCGCCGGTGAAGTTGTTTAATGGCGAACAACCAGAAGGAGGGAGAGGCGCCCAATGAGGAGCAACTCATCGGCAACCTCCTCGTAGAGACGGTGGATGATCGCTTTCTCAAACAGCGATTTAACGTGGAGTTCGCGTTTCTTTGTGACACTACCGTTGACACGGTGCTGGACGACCTTGAGGAGGCACTGGCTAGCCTGGGGCTTCGCTCAGCGATCCAGCGGGACCAATGCGCCTTGTTGTACGACGGCGGCCGCACCACTTTTAGCGACGACATCGCCAACACGGCAGCGGGGCGTCTGCAAGAGCACCATAAAGGTGGCGACACACCAGTCGCAGAGGATGGCAGTACTACAGTGCTGTCAGGGGCGGATGTAATCTTTAGAGTCCCGGAGGTGGAGGCCTTTTACGATCTCAATCGCCGCTGTGGTCTCGGCCGGGTTGCCACGTTCCGCGTTGTGAAGCGGATGCAGGCTCCACTGCCGTCGCGTGGCACGTCTCACACACCGGTGGTAAAAGCAACACCTGCGATAGAAGCGGACGAGGTCGCGAAGGATGGGCTTGCAGTGTACCGGCTCCACCGCAAGTTGCAGTTTGACGAACTCCCACGTGAAGAATTCTCCCCAACCGGAGATGGTGATAACAATGAGGTGAGTAGCGGCTATAAACACAACCTCTTGCGTGTTCGGCAGATGGTGGCGGCGGCAGAGAAATCCATTTTAGATGCTCGTCGACACCACTACCAACAACAACCACCCCGGGAGCCGCATTGGTCCGTGCACTTAAATACGCCACCCTCGCGGCATGAGTGGCTTGGGGCCATTGTGGCTGAGGCCGCGGCGTACGACCGCTTGAGGGCCAAGCTGGCGAAGGACACCACGCAACTCGTGACACAGCAGGAAACGTCACGCTGTACGTTAGAAAAGGAGGTGGCACAGCTCCATCAACGCATAGATGGGGTGAAGACTAACGTTGTGAAGCGGCAGGTGTTGCAGGAGCGGGCTGAGGAACTGAAAATAGAAATTGAGGCACAGCGGGAAAAGGAGCAAGATCTCCTGCGTTCTCTGGAGCGTGCGAGGACCAGTAAGTTGAGGCAAGCAACACCACCGGCCTCTGGTGCCTCTCCCTCGTTTGGTTTGTACGCCGAGCAGCATCGGGGTTTGCAACTGCCACCAGCGGAAGCGTCAGCATCTGCTCTCGGCACACCGTTGGCGTATCAAAATGGTTTGTTTTCCTCACGACGTGGCACACCACCGCCGCATCCAGCACCTCCACCGACGCCACTGCCGGCCTCTGTGTCGTGTGAATTTGCTCCAAATTATTCAACCATTCAAAGTCCAACCACCGAGATAGGTGCAGTTACGGGTTCTCAGTTTCTCTCCCCCTCACTACGCGAGGATGTGCGCTACGCCTTGTCGTCCCATATGCGATCTCCGGTCAATGCTCAACAGTCCCAGGTGGATTTCCAGCGGCTGCGTCACCTCGCTGAGGAGCTGGGAAACCATCTACGGTCGCCGAACCCCGACCCCGCGGAGCGGCAAAGGCTTATGGGTGGAATTCGCAACCTTCGACGTGAGATAGAGCAGCGGCGTGAAACCGAATCTCGCGCGTTATTGAACCTTTAGCATCGGTGCATAACGAAAGTTGCTTTGCAGGCGGGTACGGCTGGGGTGCAGATATGTGGCAACGGCATTATGCTGCAGAAGGATAAGGGGGAAGGCATAGCGAGGATGACGACGTCACGGTGCGGTGAGGTGGAGCAGGGGATTGGGTCATGTACGGGGAACTTGGGAATAAATGGCATCGTTCACTTTTTTCTTTATTTTTCTCTCGTGCGTACTCGTCGTCGTCGTTTTTTTTTTCTCTTGTACTTGACGCCTTTCGCAACTGTAAGGTGGATGGCGTGGGCGCTCTTTATCATTGTTATTATTGTCCTCATTCTTTTTACTTTGCCTGATTGCTTTCGTCCCTTTTCTCCTTCTCTACCCGACAGATTAATACACTGACAGGTGCAATTTGTGACTGGGCGGGCTGCCCGCATTTGTGAAGGTTGAAAGAAAGTTGAAGGATTTCTTTTTTTTTTTTTGCTTACCGCACGACCGCCTAGCACGCACCCATCCGTTTGCCAACACCAACACTTCATTGTTTGAAGCGTAGTCACGGGCAACCAATGCCGAGTTCTCCGTCAAACGAGTATGTGTCATCGCTCTTGCCACCGCAAGCCTCAACGTCTCCCCCGCATTCTTCATCCGCCTCCGTCTCCCTTTCCTTGAACACCTGGGCACTGCTGGAACGGAGCCACACCGCTTCCCCGCACGATATAAATGAGGAATCTGTTTTCCCTCACGCTCCGTTGGCACAGTCGTCGACGCCACCGACGCAAATCATGCGATCAACAACGGCCTCGTTAGGCGTTACAAGTGGGGGGGGCTCTTTCGGAGGAGGCTTCGTGTGAATGGTCTGTACTCTCGGGTGGGCAGTCCCAGTCGCAGTCAAGGCATGACCTTTACGATTTTTCCACACCTGAGAGTTCCGTTTTAAATGCGCCATCGACGCATCAGGGCAATCTGGACAATTTCCGAGCGGAGGACTCCAATGGGGTGCCAGACAAAGATGGCCCCTGCGTTTTTACTCCATATGCGCCTTATGAAGACCCACGTGGAAAACCTCTTCAGAGCCGCTCGACGCTTCCCTTCAAAAAGTATTTTCGCTTTTGTTGTCGGCCTTCTATGGACTATTTCACATTTCACGGCACTTTACCTTTTGTGTTGGGTAACGGGGGTGCCGTATGTATGCGCTTTTGTAGTATTGTATATCTGATGTTCAACGGTTCTTGTAGAGAAAATATTCCGTCAGAGAGCAGCGCTGCAAATTCGCCCGAGTTATCTGCTGCGTTTGATGTACTCTATTCCCCTACATCGGAGGCTTGGGATTACATTAACAGAAGCGAAGAGGACAACAGTCATACTGTTGAGGATGACTCTGGTGACAGCAGTGGCAAATGTGGCAGCAACCCTGATGGAGAGGGAAACTCCTTGCATGCTCAGTTTTCCTTTATGCCAATTGTTCGTTCCGTCCTCAGGCATATTGAGTTGATGACTGCTACTCAAAAGCGTCCCAAGGTGTGGACTGGGCGCCGTCGCCATGGACGGGGCAGGAGCGGTCGGACGACGAGGGAAAGACACGGCTGGCCTCATCTTGTGGAATGGGTTTCCAGCGAGATGGAGACGCTTCTATCATGCACCCTGCATGGCATCATTGTCTTCATGCTGTAGTGGGGTCGACATGGCCGGACACCTCCCGTCCCAACCTCCCCTTGGCACAGGAGAAATGGGAAGCAAAAGGAGAGGCAGATAAGCACATACACACATGTAATTTGTGGTTAACTTAATCAGAAGAGCTTGCAGCCATTTTTTCTGGTATTAGTGCAGCTATCGGGAAGCAATAGTACGGCTGCTCCCACTGCCAGGGTTGGCAGTATTGCTAATATATATATATATATATATATATGCCGCTATACTTACTGTTATTATTATTAATAGTGGTAGTAGTAGTAGTAGTAGCAGTAGTAGTAGTAGCAGTAGTAGTAGTAGTACTAGTAGTAGTAGTACTAGTAGTAGTAGTACTAGCAGTACTAGTAGTAGTAGTAGTTGTTGTTGTTGTTGTATGGGGGAAACGAATACATATGTAATATATATATATATATATATCAGTATGTATGCCGGCTGTGGATATAATGCCATCTTTCTCAAAAGAATGAAAGAAGCTCTGTGTGATTGTGCCGCATTTTCATTTCTCTCAATTTCTTGTTGTTGTTGCTGTTGTTGTTTATTATTATACATTGCCCGATCTTTACCTCATTTTTTTTTGCTTTTTTTTTTTTGCTGCTGTGATGCTGCTGGTAGTTTAACCCTTTTTTTTTTGGGAGTGAAATTGGGTGTAATAATGGACATTTAGGGTGGAAGGAAGAGAGTTCATGCTGAAGAGTAAATGATCGTGTCACGTAGTGAACAACGATTGCATATTCAGGAAATGCAATTATGGGCTTTGATTGCATTTCTTTCTTTTTTCTTTTTGTTTTTCTCTTATCCCCCCGCCTTTCTCTCTTAGAGATACATACTTCTTGCGTGTTCCGTGCATATATATATATCGGCACGCATGTCTGTGTGTGTGTGTGCGTGTGTGCCCCACTCTTGATGACGCATGTGTGAGTGGGTCGATACCTGCATTTTGTAGAGAGAGTTTAACATGCCCAGAAAACGGGGGAAAAAATACTAGTCATATGAATACACACATACATCTATATGTCTATACATATGACGGTGATGACGTGCGCTAGAGAATATCTGCCTCCCCCCCCCCCTCCCTTTTTTTTTTTGCTAAATAGTTTGATTAGTGCAACTTTTTCCCTTGAATATATTTTTATACAATTCTTCTTTGTTATACAATTTGGTTTAAATGCATGCTATCTCTTTTTAGTTGTGTTTGGTCTTCACGCCGGCTCTATGCCTCTTCCTCATTTGAGTTCATCACTACATGCATGCCATCTGTCTGTGCACACACTTCTCACTCTGCCTCTCCCTTTACGTGACTCGGAGCACACATTCAAAAGGCAAACAGGCGAAGGAAGACGGTGCGGAAGGAGTCAGGTGCCGGACGCTTGACAACGTCTTGTTTATAAGAGGATAGTGTACGACTGGAGGAGGAAGGTAAAACACATAACAGTATAATATATATATAACTAGTTGTTAGGCGCTCCTGTCTGAAGTCTTTTCCCACAGAAGGGGTGAATCAATCGAGCCACACGTATACGTTTTGTGTGGGTGTATTTAGCGAGTGTGTGCGAGCGCGAGAGGCAGAGGAAAAGGAGAGTAGGGAACATGCTCCATCCAATGAAGGAGGAGGAGAGTCACGTTCCGTCCGGTTTTGATACAAGAGAACAAGGACGCTCGGGCAAGGAGGATGACAGAGGAAATACACACATTGGGGGATCCCCACTTGAGCCCGTGAAGACCAACTCACGCGAACTTAGGGCTGAGGCGCAGGGTGCAAACGGCACGGCCTTGTTGGAAGCCGTGCCGGAGCACCTTCACTCGTTGGCACTTCGGATTAACACATTGAATGAGGCGGATCTTGTGACGATTGCCGAAATAGCGGAGGAATACGCCAAACGTGGTGTATACTCGTTACTCCCGTACACAGGGAGCAGCTGGTTTTTGCCACAGGTCCGAGAGGTGGAAGAAGGCGAAAGTCACTGGGGCATTCAATGTGGGGCCTACGGCAGACTCTCCGTGACGCTTGGGGGTCGCCGTTTGGTGTTGCCGGTTATTAATATATTCCTACGCATCGGTATGATTGTGCTCTGTTGGTTTGCACTGTGGAATGTCCTGCCTCATTGGTTGGTGGAGCCAGGCGGCTATGTGTGGGATCCGGCCGTCGCCATCTTCGTTTCTGCCGTAGTTGGGGGCTTGGTGTGTCGCGTGTTGCAGATTCCTCCGCTTGTTGGCGTGCTCTGGATTGCGATCATGTGGAACAATATCCCCTATGAGAGCTGCTTGACGCAGGGTATTGTGCTGCCGCTTAAAGACATTGTGTCGAAAATGGGGTTGACCGTCATCATGGCACGTACTGGCTACTCCCTCACCTTCAAGGGGATCCGGCCGCACTGGAAGCAAAGTCTTATGCTGGCCATCCTTCCTTATGCTGGCGAGGGCGTTGCACACAGCCTGATTGCAAATAAAATATTTAATTATGGTGATAACTATCAATGGGCCTTTCTGCAGGGGATGGTGTCTTCCATAGTTTCCCCCGCTGTTGTGGTTCCTGGCACGCTATATCTGCACAAGCTTGGATACGGTCACGGCTGTCAAGCCTTTTCCCTGCTGCTTTCTTCTGCCGGCCTGGAGGTTGTGTTTGGGGTGTGGGCAACTAATTTTATTATTGGGTTGCTCTTCTATGATCAGAAACTTGCCTTATCGATTGTGTTGGGCCCCGTTCAGTTGATTGGTGGCGGTGTCCTGGGCATTGCTCTTGGCGTTCTTTTTTTCTACTTTGTGGAGATTCTTAAGCACGAGGCGGAACGGCTGCCCAATGGAAAGTATGAGAAGGCACACTTCTACAGGACGCTAAACTTTGCCACCTTTGTTTTTCTCCTACTCGCCTTCTCCATGGTTTTCTTGGGGTATTCCCTCAACCTTGCCGGGGGCGGTTGCACCATGTGCGTCTTCTTTGCAAGCGCCGTGACCCACCTATGCATCAAGGATGGCAACGCGGAGCTGGAGCGGCAGCATAAATATATTGGCTCATGGCTGGCGCTCTTTTGGGACAGTCTCGCAATGCCCTGCCTGTTTGCCATTGTGGGGTCAAAGATCAGCATTGGCTCCATCTTCAATAAATATTTTTTTCCCAAGGCTGTGGTGTGTCTCGTCTGCAGTACCGTCGTGCGTGTGGTCGTTACGTTTGTGGTTCAGCTTGGTGCCGGCATGACTTTTTGGGAGAAGATGCTTGTCTGTGCGGGGTGCATCGGCAAGGCCACGGCGCAGTGTTCCATCGGCACTATCGCAGCAACACTCGTCGCGGAGGAAATCGCTAACCTGGCTCCCGGTGAGCAGCCCTCGGCGGCGCTGCTACAGCGCAGGGAGTACGCGAACAACGTGCAACAGGTGGCAGCCATGTACGTGATGTTCATGGCGGCAGTGGCATCGGTCAGCCTTGTGCGTGGCGGCATGGTGATTCTCCCCAGGACTAAGCCGGAGAAGCGGTCACAACGCCCGCGGCCATCGATTGAGACTTCAAGTGTTGTGGACGACGCTGAGGAAGTTCGGAGCACTGATGGGAACGATGCCGCCATATTTATGGAGTTGCAGGAGCGTGACCCCTACCCAACTCCCGTGGCGAGGGCAGTGTAGCGAATTTATTCCGTCTCTCGCGACGCCCTTCACAAGGCGTGTGTGTGAGTGTGTGAATCTACCTCAGTACTTATTTTTTTTTCTTTTTTTTGAAGAGCGGCGGCATCCGAATATAGTCCATTTTAATCGGATTACGCGGCACGAGGCATCAGCACACTCATAAGAGCGTGCATGAAAGTAAGGGAAACGTAGACAAAAGAGAGGTGCTAAGGTATTGTGCTGAAGGAGGGCGGGCAAGTGAACTTCCGTCAGTCTCTTTGTGTGCGGCACTTTTTATCTTTATTTGCAATGTGTGTACTTTGTTTTGCTGTAGTGGAGTGTTACAAACCAGCGTAGCGTCGTATACAGATCGTTAGTATTTATATTTATTTCGTTTTTCCTTCTCGGTGTATATTTGCCTGCATGTGTGTGAATGTGCGGGGGAGAAGAGATGGCAGGGCACCTCAACAGTCTATGCACGCGTCTGTGGAGGTGGACATGCCTTTTGTTTTTGTTTTTATTTGCTTGTGCCTGTGTGGCTTTGTATTGCGTCAAACACGCACGCAGAAAACAACAAAAAATAAATAAATAATAATAATCAACAAAACCGTGTTTATCTTGCCCGTTCTCAGCGGCTGTTAAGGATCTCTCACCGAGTCAGAAAGTTACCACATCTAAAGCGGCAACAGAAGAAGAAGGAAAAACAAAACAAAAACAAAAACAAAAACACCCCCACTGACATTTCCCCGAGGACACAATGACGAAACAGTCTGTGGTGAGTCCTGTAGAGCTGCGAGACGCTGCGCTTACAATTGTTAAGCGCTACAAGCAGGCTCCGCAACGCCGGCTGCTCGTTGGCATCGCTGGCCGTCCAGGAAGTGGAAAGACGACCATCGCAGAGGTCCTCGCGGATGAGGTGCGCACAATGCTCCGCACGCTCTCCGACGACCCCCGCGACCACGCAGAGAAGGCGGTCGTGACGATGCCAATGGATGGCTACCACTACTACCGCAAGGAGCTGCGTGCGATGCCAAACGGCCCAGAGGCGGTGGAGCGGCGTGGGGCGGAGTGGACGTTTGACCCACGCAAATTATGCAAGGACCTACAGGCCATTCGCCTGCCGGCTGCAACGGCGGAAACGACAGGGTTACCTCTGTACAATGAAGTCCGGGTGCCAACCTTTGACCACAGTGTGGGGGATCCGAAGGAAGAGGACATCTGCATCTCTGGAGACACGGCCATTGTGATTGCGGAGGGGAATTACCTCCTCTACCGCGGAACACCGACGTGGGCGGAGGTGAACCGCTGCTTCGACATTGGCGTGTTTCTGGACTGCCCAGCAGATCAGGCTACGTGGCGGATATGTCGGCGGCACATGGTATCATTTAAACTCAACCAGGAAAGTGCGATGATGCGGGCTACAGGGTCAGACGCCACGAATGGCGACCTCGTGGATACGACGAAGAAAAACGCGGATATTGTGTTACATTCCATTGAATGTAAACTGTAAAGCGGCATGCGCCGAAGGTTGGCAGGTGGTTTTTCTGCTAATTTGTCTCTCTTAAGTCTCTGCAGAGATGCATGGCGGAAGGGGAAGATGTAAAGTCTTCTTCTTCGTCATAACTGCGCCAGACATTTTATGGGACGAGGTTAACGGAATCCGCAGGCAATTAGATAGATAATAATAGCAACACAAAAACAAAACAAAACGAAGGAATGCAGAATGTAAACATCAAATGCACGCTAATAGAGAAGGAAAAGTGAATTATTTGGGCACGCAAAGACGGTTTATCATTATTATTATTATTATTATTTATTATGACTATTTTTTCCTGGTTTTTTTTCGAAATCTTTTTTTTTTTACTTTTTGGTAAATACACTTGTGGTGCTCGCGGGGGCGTGTCGGTGCGTCCTGTCGGAGGTGGTGTTTGGGCGTCTGTGGTAACAGCTCCTACGGAGGATGACTCAATATCGCTTCCACGTACCCCAGCACACACACACCGTTGGAGGGAGCAACGCCGTCCATCCCTGGAGGCCGCACCGTGTAGAAAACTGGACGGCGTCGGCGTCCGCATCTCAGCAGGTTGCGTCCAGCACACACGCGTGTGTGCTGGAGTGCAAGGGAGGGAATTCCAAAGGCAGGGAGCCGCACCTGCCGCCTTGGTGGCATCTCTTCGACTCCTATTTTTCTCTCTGTTTGTGACTCCCTTTGTGAATAACCACGCACACACAGACACACACGCAGTGGAGGGCGCATTTTTTTTTTCTTTTTTTTTTTGATAACGCCGCTGCGGCGGTGTGTATTTGCATGTGCCCCTCACAGTCACCACGAGGCAGACCTCGGAAACACAGAAGCAGCAGAGCGAATAGAGAGGCGGGACGCGGCTGAACGGACGAGAGCGCAACAGCAAACTTGACGGACTTCAACGAGGGAGGTAGACTGCGTGGCGCACAGGCGGCGGAAACGGCAGGGAGGGAAGAGGCACACCTACTTTTGTATACGTCGCCGCATACATACACGCTAGTGCAAGGGAAGTAGACTCTCCTCCGCAGCAAACCGAACTTTTAATGTCTCGGCGATCGCAGTGGGAGAGCATGCGCCAAGAGGGGCGGAGTAGAGTGGACAGGGCGGATTCCCCCTCCGCCGTGGATAGCACACCCTGCCAAGATTCCTGGCTTGCTACACCTGGCGGGTCCGGCGATCGCGTTCGCCCGCGATCCCGCAAGCCAGGACGCCTGGAGGGGAAGAGCGCAAGCCGGCAACTGCAGAGCAGCACCGGGAAGAGAAAGGAGCGAGGCAAGATGCCTGCCAAAGCCGGTGTGGAGGAGGAAGAGGACGATGCTGACGACAACGGCGCCGTTCGAAGGCTTCACAGCGTGGAGAAGGCTGATACGCTGTTGATGCCAGTCCTGGAGCTTATCCCCGATTTTCCATTGGAAAATGCTACATCAGCGGAGGCGACATACACTAGCAACGTAGTACCAGGGACTCCGCGAGAGGAGAGAGGTGCGATTGCGAGCATCGGCAGCTTCTCTGTGGGGGAAACTTTTCGAGAGTTGAGTACAGTGGGCAGTGATAATGGTTTCACGTTGCTTCAGATGGAACTGGCACAGGAGAAACGAAAGAACATTTTTGTGGAGCAGCGTCTATTGTCGTTAGATAAAGAAATCAAGGAACTCCGGGCGGAGAATGCGCGGCTGGTGTCAGCTGCTGCAGGGAATGCTGTCGCCACAACGGTGGTTGGTCCCCAGAAGTCGCTAACGGGAGGAGACACTGTGCCGAACGCTGGAGGCGGCAGTGGCTTGACACACGTGGAGCAGATGGTGAGGGAGCTGCAGGACGAGCTGGATGTGATGAAGGAGTACACGAAGGAGTTGGAGGCGCGACTGGCGGATAGGTCCAACGCCTTAGAGCGACGCTGCCGAGAGGTGGAGCAAAAGGAGAGCCGCATCCGTCAGTTAGAACGTACCATGGCAGATGAGCTGATTCGCCGCTCTAACCAGGAGCTCACGGAGGAGAGTGCAGGGCGTATCACATCTGCACCTATCACCGCCGCCGCCGCTGCTGCTACTGATGGCGGAAATCCCCATTCCCGCAACCCCGACCACAAAGACGGCCATCACGGCGGCGTTGGGGTCCCACATGAGGGACCTGCAAAGGTGAGGCGCGAAAGATTGATAGGCAGTGTGGCGGCGGTGCCCTCTACGGTTCGTCGTACCACCGTTCTCGCGCGTTTACGTCCAGGTCAGGAGCACCGTGTTGGGGGCGGCGCCCCGGAGCCGTTGGCGCTGAAGGGTCCTGCGCCATCTCTCGAGCGCACATTATCCTCTGATCACCCTGCGGCGCAGGAAAAACCGCGGCAAAGGGCCTCCTCTCTGTCGCAGAAAAAACCGCATACAAGTGGTGGACATGCCGTGATGCAAGCCAGCAGCGCGCATGATCACGACCGTAGCGAAGCTGCCCACGATGAGGGCCAACCCCAGCAACCTTGTGCAAGGTTGGCCTCCGTGCCCAACAAACCACGAAGTGCCTCTTTACTTGGTCGCCGCAGCGTGACGCCGACCGTCTTACATTCGTTGAAAACACGTCACAGAGAGAGAACGGGAGTGCCGGCGTCAACACCTGCGCATTCGCTGAGACACTCACGAAGGGAGTCGCTTTCCAAATCGGCCAACACTGAACGGAGGTCCTTGTTGAAGCGGAACAGCACAAGCCCCATTCCACACGTACACCATGCGGGTGGTCCGCCGCACACGCACGCGGCGCCGCGGCCTGGCACCACCCGACCGCCACCGGTTGAGACCTCCATCGTGTCAACGTCAGGCATGAGCACAAATGCATCAGCGCTGCATCATATGGAGACGCGCTCCGTCGCGTCAACTGCGCGTTCTCGGCCACGCATCAGCCACAATGACGGCGGCAACACAGTCATCCAAACGAACACCACAACGGTTGTGACACGCAGCGTGAAACGACGGGACTCCCCAGTGCTGGTGCCGCAGCCACGCCTGGATCTCGTGGAGTCTTTTCCGTCTGATCAGAACTTTGTTTCTGAGAAGTTTTCCACAACGACGTACCGACCAAACCGGCTGGTACGATACCACAATGATGACTCAAACGCGCGCTCGTTGAGTCCTCGCTCAACGTGAGGTGAAGAAAATGTGCGCCCCGATAAGTGGCGCCTAAAAACGTTGCACAAAAAGGCGTGGGTGGGGAGAATAAAGGACTCGGGTGGATGAGTCCAAAGAATAAACTCGTTTAGAGTTGTTTGCATATTTGGGTATATACACACAGAGAGAAGGTGACATGTACACGCCTAGGCAAACTTGATGCAGGGCAAACAACACGAAAGACAAAAGAAAATAAATGGAAAAGCGGCATTTAACGTGCGTGTGAGGGAAGAGGAATAAAGTCCCGCAAGAATGATAACTAAGAAAAAAAAAGACAAAAAAATGAATAATACACATGCGGGAGAATAGAATAAGAATCACGCACGTAAATGAAAAACAAAAACACACACACACACACACACACACACACACACACACACACACACACACACACACACACACACACACACACACACACACACACACACACACACACACACAACAACAAC